AGATGATGAAACCACCTGAAAATTCACTCATTACTCACTGCCTTGCCAAATGATGTTATTGCTTTGTTAGTAAAACCTTAGTTGGATGGGAAAGCTTTGAAATAGCCAGTTTCCTATGTACATGTCACCATTCACAATTTACTTCCTTTCCATATTTTGAGCCATTTTTCCTAAGGTTTCATTTCATGTAACTCCTTGTTACTTTTCTCTAGTTGAACCACTAATATGGGATTTTGTGGTGCAACCATATATATTACTGGTCTTCAAGCTTTTCTGTTGTATTAGCGAATAATACTCAAGCATTAAATGCTTCTTGTCCTCTGTATTGTCTACGTCTATTTGACCATTTTGAAAAGAATGAGTCTTTGGTACAAAGAAAGTTGTACTTCCATCTCCAGCATCCCATCCAGCATAAATCACACGTGGGTGTGGCCATCTGTATATATCCCTCCTCTCCTGCGTTCGCAGTGTTTACCTGAATCTCACGTTCACGGAGGAGAGCTGGGATTTTCCTTATGGCTTCTACAGTGTGGATGTACATTTTTGCTTAGAACAGAACTGGAGGGAATCAGATGGACATTTTCCTGCGTGTTCAAGCGTGACGTGTTCTATTTTGCCTTCCACATTGCTGCCCAGTTCATGGCACCCCACCTTGCCAAGGATAGACTGTGAGGCTGGCAGTGCCAATCCTTAGAGGAGAAGCCACAAGAATGACTCCAAACTCCTCCCTCCGCTTTGCTAACTCACGGTTGTTTCCTCTTGATTGTCTAAGATCAAGTGCCTTGTAAGCATGTGCAGTCCAAGCTGCTGAAGAATGAGCTCCATTCCATCTTGCCTTTCTGTAAACCCGAAGGGAAGATTTGGCCCATGTCAACGGAGTGTGGGCCAGACATCATTCATCTGCTTCCATGTTATCCTGTGTTCTCCCACTCAAATGCTCGTTCTGAAGGGATTTCTTCATATTAACAAACACGGTTCCCTTTGAACTCCAGAAGACGGAGCACAGAAATGGTGAGTCCTGGAGAGTCGGGTCTTTCAACCTTTAGTTGGTGACATTGGATAGACATTCTTGGGAACCCATTTTTTTTTCAGGAGGACTGTTGTGACCCGAGAGGAGAAAAGGTGGAGCAGGAGGCTCTCAGAATAGCCCTAGGAGGCACCAAACTCCATGCCCCCTTAATACCCAGCCCTTTCCCTGTCCACACTCAGGATCATAATGCCTAGGGTCATTGTTCTGATGTGCCCACAGGTCTGGCACCGTGAGCTGTTATGCCCGACTTGGGCCATGGTTCTCCTGGTTTAATGATAGAATCTCCTGATCAGACCCTTGAAGATGACCTGGCAGAACCTTCTCTGTGATTTTCACACCCTCTGTTCTTTTGCTGGGCTTTCTCCATTCTCCAGTGAGATCTTTCTTGTATTTTATCTTCAGGCTTTGAGGTGTGTGGAACAAATGAATTCCTCTTCTAGTTCCTTCTGCTTCTACATATGCCTCTTGTTGTGAGGTGCCGTCGAGGTGAGGATGACTGCTAGCAACCCTGTAAAAAACAAGTCCTGTCCTGACCCAGGTTCTAGAGGTAGGGTTTCAGCCCTATGATTTTTGCCTATTCTTTGTTCTCTTCAGCGGGAGCTCTGGAGGAATAGTTCCTAAGCAGCAGACACCTTTCTGGTTATGCTGCAGCTCAGACAGAATGATGGGCCGGAACGATGGACATTCTTTGCTCGTGGGCTCTGCATCCCACTAGCTACCACACTTTTGGATTGTTTCCTGTTTGATGTCAGTTAGTACATGAGTATTGAATTGTCGCATTTGGCTCTTAACGTCATGTTCACTTTTGTCAGAGAAGCTACATGTTTGGAATGGACAGCTTGGTATAGTTTGTACTCGATTAAGTTTTTGAACCGTTTAGTAGATTTCTATTGAGAGCTTCCCTCCCTGTCTTGTTACTTTATACACCCATTCCACCTTCTCCTAACACTACTTTTGATGCCACTTTATTAATCATGTAAATCATGATGAGTACATCAAGTGCTGTGCTGATTTACGTAATATAATTTATTAATTAATTAGCAATTGGTGCCCAAACAGTGTTTTGGAGCTCTGATGGTTAGGAGA